AGTGATTTCAAATCTCAGTCCAGCGTAGTAATTACATACAAAGCATAAAAAATACGGTAGCAAGCTGTCACTATTTTAACATAAAAATAAAAAAAAACAAAGATGTCATTCTAGATCAAAATAACAAACGTCATTTTGCCATCTGGGTTCTATATTTCAGAAAAAAAAAACTTGTAACTTGCATAAAAGGCACAATAGCTTCATATATATTGGACAGATAAAATATTTACGAATATCAAAGATGTTGTACAAATCATTGATGTTTTGATATCTTTTTATACACAGAAAAGAGTACATATTTTGTATTTAAATCTTAATTACTTTTTTCAAGTATTTCAAAAGTTTATATATTTGCAAATCTATCACAAGTATAAAATTTATTTAAATATATTTTGAATCTCAGTAAGTTTAATATTTTAATCAAGATTATTAAGTCAAAACAAAAATTCAATTCGCTTATTATATGAAGTAGCTTTTTCTATAAAATTTTCTAAAATATTCTTCGAAAGAAAATAAATTCTTGCTTTAAGTACATAATAATAAGTTTTTCTAAAATTTTAAAAACTATTATCAAGAAAATATTCTTTGTTAAAAATAATAGTTACCTAAAAGAAAAAAAAACTAAGTAATCACTTAGCAATAGAATATTCTGTGTGCATTATGAAGCTGTTCAGATTTTAGAAACGTTTAAAAAATGTTTGCAATTATAAAGTCATCATTCTCTGAGTCACTAACAATTGTGGGAAGAATATATGAATAACGGCCGCTTTATCTTAAATTATGTTATTTGACTTTGATCTCTGCGCGACTTCGCAGCGGATGCACGCAACGTACGTATTGCGTGAGTACACGTGCTCTTTATCATCAAAATGATGCACCCACGCAATCGTGCAACAGGTATAATAGCGTTGCTTCAGTTGCTCACGGTGTGATATTTAATTCCATGCTCCTCACGATACACACGATACAGTAAATTGGAGTAGTTGCCCTGACGTGTTCTTTTTTTGCGATGCTAAGCGACGATTTTCTCAACTCGCACGCTTATCGGCTCGTTGTTTATCTTTGAAAATCATTCAGAAAACTTGGCAGCAAGACAGAATAAAGATCCCGTTTACGAAGAGATGCTTAACTAAATCGTCATTTATCTCTGGAAATAATTTGGCAAAATAAAGATTTCGTTTATAGACAATAAATTATATTGAAAATTAATTAGTAATCGTTTATCAATTCTATGATTCAATTTTTAGCGAAATATATTCCTTGATATTAATTCTGTGATCTGTTCAAATACTAAACAATCATACTATGATCAAAAAGCTCTAAAAAAATTTTTTTTAATGTTATATTAATAGAAGTCATCAAATATCAGAGAAAAAAAATTTTATTAAATATTAGTAAGAGAAAATTAATTAAATTTTAGATCAAACAGACTCCAACAGACCAACAGAATTAACAAAGTTAAATGTCTTTCCAACGAGACACCGAATTTTTGTTTGGAGAAAGTTCAGTTTCGTGAAAAAAAAAGATGAGTTTATGACTATCTATGACGCGTTACAATGAAATTACAACGACTGTTTCGATTAACTAATCTAAGTTAATTTGCTAATTACTATTTTTAATTCTGTATTATAGCTTCATCTATACCAAGGTACAAAAAAGACGAATTAGTTACAGTTAACGCTGATTAACAACCGGTCGCATATTAATTATTGCTGTCATCTAGAATCCGATTATAGTCACGCAATGATCTGATAACTCGTTATATTAGTCAGTTATGTTTAAATTACAGTCTCGCCTGTAATGCGGAAAAGTGACATCCAGTTAAGTAATAATTAGTGTCAGTGCAACTGGTCTGGGAAAAGTTGTCACTGGAATCATTAAATGAAAACGAAAGTATGAAACACGAGATTACTTCGAGCTTATCAAACTGGAATAAATTACTTCTAAGATTTATAACTTTTTGATATGTACTACGCGTGTTTCTTGATTATATAGTTTTCTTTTGAAAAGCGAAATATATCCTCTTAATAAACAATCCAATAATAATCCAACAATGAAAAAAAGCGTTTTTTAATTTTTTCCTCGATTTGTTTGCTTTAAAAGAAAAGATAAATTTACATACAATTAAAAATATCGAAATAAAATAACGTGATGTGTATTTTATAAAAAATATGATTAAAAAGCGCCTGATTTTTTAAATCACAATGTGAGTTAAACATGAAGTTACATCAAAGATACTCCGTTTTCTTTTCCAGTGTTTCCTTCAATTTATTTTTAATTGGAAAAATGAAAAATCTCAAACAAACGTACGTTTATATTTACTGTTTCTAAACTCGCCTTCTAAAATATAAAGGTGCTTTCCTTCTAATGACACAAGTCAATAAAAACAAAAATTGATTTTTCTTGACATTCAGTGAGTAACAAAGAAAAACACTTGCGCCGACTTACGTCATCAAATGAAAAACACCCTAAGAATCGCTGTGTATATTATAACCATTTTCTCACTTTTGATTCTTTAAGGATTAAAATATATGATGATGCAGAAATTATTTTTATACATAACAATTTCCTCATTTTTAGTCTCTGAAGATTAAAATATATGAAGATGCAGAAATTATTTTGGAGTCGCTGTAAATTTCATCGTCGCGCTTTCAGCCTTGCTCGCCCGACCCTCGCAAAAACAGACCATCACTAGCCAGAATTAACTGGCCAAGGCTATCCGGTGGAAATGACTTCGACGACGTCTATCGTCGCCTAGACGTTATCGTCGCCTTCAGCGGGTTAAGTTCAAGATACATTAAAAATTTATAACATTTGAAGCACGAGAGAGAAAGAGAAACGGAAGAAATACAAACAGATATGTACTTCATTCTCTTAAATCATCCTGAGTATCATCTAAATGTTGCTTCACGCGCGTATCTTCACTTTCACTGAGTAATAATATAAATAATAAGGTAATGAAGTTCGAGAACCCCGTTTCTCGAAATGGAAAGTTGATAAAATACATAATACATGATCGATCGGTCAACATTTACAAATCTCTAATATCTCGGTTCAATAAACGGTTCTCCGTTCGGTTTGAAGTAAGGAGAATGAAGGAAGGTGAACATAAACCCTTCTTCTTCTTCTTCTTTTTCTTCTTCTTCTTGAGATTCTCCTGTTCCGACCCAACATAAAGGCTCACCTGGGTCAGTACCATGCGGTGAATTTGAATCAAAAGATCCTGTGATAATCTCTTCGGGGGATAAAGATATTAGAGACTCCACGGACAAGCAAACCCTTCACTATCTCTAGGCGACCACCTGCCGACGCGCAAGCCACGCCCTCTCGCGGGCGCAGGGACGAACCGAGCCTCGGAGAGCGCGGAGCGCTCCCCGCCGTCCACCTGTCAAGAATCGCGTCTGTAAATTCCGGAGCGGAGTCATCGGTACTCCGGAGTGTACGCACCTTGCCTTGAGATTGTCCACCACGCGCTCGACCGTGATTTCGTCCAGCAACACAAAGTCGCCGATGCCGACGTCGTGGCTTGCCATATCTGTCTCGTTCGCCCGCACGGCACGCGATGCTCACGATCGTAACAAACCGCACTTTATCGATCACCACGTGCCACCACCGCACGCGACCGATCCGCGCGCACCACTGACGGTTGGCGGGTTGGTAAGGTTGGTTCGCTCGGCGCACGTCCCACCGTCGATCAACTTCGTTATCTCGCGCGAGCGGCGAATGCGGTCATCTTCAGCTTGCAGTGCTGCTTCCCGCGTTCCCACCGCGGTCGATGACGGTGCGTGCCAGTGCCGTTCATACTGAAACGCTCAGTGATGGGTGATTAGAATTCGTGACTCGATTCGCGATTCAAGATATGGCGATCGTTGACCAAGGACCGTATTTTTGAAAAATATATACGAAAATACTAGGAAATTTATAATTTACGTAATATATACTGTGTAATATTTTCGTATATTTTTGTACGCGATATTTTTCGAGAATACAACCCCAGGTTCTTTTCTGCTGAACTTTTACATTGTTCATCTTTTCTTTTTTCTCTCCGTGATGAAGAAAAAAGGAGGAAAGAAATGCAAGAAGTTTAGTTGAAAAGAACAAATCTCATGTAATGTTTTCTTAAAGGCAGGAAACGTGAAAAGTGAATTTTTTTCCCATTATTTTTAATGGCAAAATTTTTATGTTTCTGTCCTAAAAAAAAAACTACACAATCGTTACCCAGAAATTAAATATGGAATAAAAAATTATTTCGTCCTACGTGTAAACAAAATAATGCATCGCTTGAATTATGTCCATTTCTATAATCAATGTAGATTGACTTTAATCTCGGTTTAACTTACTTTTTATCTTTTTATGATTCTTAGAAATAGAACAAGATAAAAAATAAGTTAAACCGAGATTAAGGTTAATCTACATAGAAGTGGACATTAGACGACGTTGATCAAACTCCGATTAACTTAATCGACAATTAACTCAAAAAAATCGGCAGAATCGCTTAAAACAATATCTCTAATATACAGTTCTTCATTTTTTTTATACATAGAATTTTAATTAATTTTAATTTTAATTTGATATAACTTGATGTTTAATTAATTAATTTTATTTTATTTTTCGTACTATTTAGTAAAATAGTGCTGATAAATTAAGTTAATCGGAGTTTGATAAATAAACCCTGATAACTCTATATGTGTGTGACTCTTTTACGAATGCAAGAATTTTTCCAGGAGAATACAGTTTAAAAAGAAACAAATTAACACAAGAGTCATCCTTGTTCGATAATCAATAAGAAACAAAGACTCTTACGTCGATTTATGTTTCTGCTATAGAAAGCTTTCTTATTATTAGGCCCAGTTTTACAATTCATGCTTAACTCTTAACCGAGGTTCAACTTGTTTCTCATCTTTTACCAATTCTAAAATTGGAAAGAGACAATGAATAAGTTGAACCTCGGTTATGAGTTAACCGTCAGTTGTGGAACTGGGCCTTAGAATACAGGGAACACAGGCCACTAGAGTCTCTCATGGAGCATACGTCCCTGGCGTACGCGGAAGAGAAGAGACGAACGGCGCGTGCGCCACCCGTGCTTGTTCACCTTTATTTTTGGAAGCTGCTGGAAGCGGTAAGCGAGCGGGTGAAGCGGTTGAAGCGACGACTGGCTGTCATTACTGTGTCAGTAGAGTGTCGCGGACTGTTGGCGTGTTCGGATGTGCGTGTGTATGCGCATGACTCCGACCCATCATCACGAGCGATGTCGACGCGAACGGCGATGCCGACGATGACGATGTTCAAGTCGAGAATTGGCTCGACGCCACTGACGAACGGCAGTGGAAATCTCGCCGAGACCCAGAAATCGACGCCAGCGAGACTCTGGTCGAGGATTCGCGTGAACGAGTGGACGTTCAGTCTGATGCTCTTTACCTTCTCGCTCGCCATCATTGTGGCCAAGCTGTACCTGAATTATTGTGGTAGGTAAACACGAGTCGCTCGGACGTCTCGCTCTTCTCAATTTCCTTTAAATCAGCACGTCGCCTGAATCTTTCTACCTCCCGAGATCGGACGTGATGCCAAGCTTCCGTTCGCGCGTCCACGAATCTCAATTGAGGTTAGACGCATCATTTAAGTTAATTTAAACGTACACTTTCTGTTTTGATTCTGTTGAAAGGGACGTTCCTAGCGATCTGAATCGTTTCCACGAGGAGAGAATCGTTGTCACGCGAACGACAGTAGATCGTCACCGGTAGGACATACCCGTTCTGGGTCAATCCGTCGTATACACAAGTTTTTGTTTTGGTTACATTGGAAGCGGGATTGCCGACGATGCTAATCCGTCTCGAGGGGAAGCCTGTATCGTTGCACGACGATATGTACTTTACTTTTATTTTGTCTCCTGTACTTTACTTTTATTTTGTCTCCTGTACTTTACTTTTATTTTGTCTCCTGTTAAAACGCAATAAGCTCCGGAACGGAAGTTAGCTCTGTAATTTCTCTGATTATGTTATTTTCTGTATACTTACATTATTGGATATGTTCTTCTCAGTTACGCCTTTCTATATGTTTGCCTTTGTCTTTCTCTGCTTTCACAGCATGGGCAAGTAATTGTTTCTTAAAAAAAAAAGGAGAGGTGGAGAAATGTTGCTGAAAAAAACAGATCTAATATTTCTATAATAATTTGATCAGGCGATCGTTTGTTAATTTGCCTGTTGTGTTCTAATTATTATTTATTGTCAGCAAGTCATGTACGTATTTCTAGAATTATTTATGTGATATTAACTGTTCATGCTTTCCAATTTATGTAATATTAACTTATTAATGCTATAAAACAAAAACTTAACATGATCTAAACATCATTTGTTTATTTATATTAATTTTATAAATTGTACTGCTATAAATTAGTGTCCCATCTCATTCTTTTATGCCTCTATCAGAGTAGAGATATTGAGATTGAATTTGACTAATCCAAGCAAAGTTCATTAAACTAGATATTAGTATAACAATTGTGTTTGTATATTCACATATAAATATTACTAAGCAATATTATCGCTTTGAAAATGATATTCTTTTTTCTTATTTGTGTTTAAACATTTCTCGGTCTATTTCATTTATTAGTTGATATTATATTCTTTTTTTTCTAATTAGTTAAATTCGATTTCAATTTTTAGTCTGATACGGATATTAGGACGCTTGAAAACCAGATAATTTTCGTCTTCGTTATGATTTTATTAAACAAATTATTTTTCGCAAAAATTTACTATCGCAGATAGCATAGAATATTCTAGTAATATTCCAGCAGCGTTGGAACATTGCTGCAATATTGCTGGAATGTTTCACGTTATCTGGAATTGCGTGAGCTTTATTTCTGAAAAATAAAAACGCGCAGACGAAAGAAATAAATCTAATACATCTCGGCAATAATTTGTCCAAGCAATCGTTTGTTAAGTTGCTTTATGTTTTAATTATTATTTGTTATCAATCTGTATATTTCTTAAATTATTTATGTAATATTAATTGCTTTAACGCAAAAACCTAACTCGGATCACGAAAGTTATTTGTTTATTTAAGTATATAAATTTGATATTGTATCTCTATAAACCAGCGTCCCGTCCTGTTCTCTTAGGATGCCTGAAAACCAGACGATTCTCTAGTCGCTATTCTGATTTCAATAAACGAATTATTCCTTGACAAAAACTTAACGATTTATTCCGTGAACTTTATTCCTTTCAGAGAACACATTGTATCGTGCGTTGTACAAGAGATGAAGAGATAACCGATGATTATATACCTGCGACGCTTTCCAAGAGTTTTATCATTTAAACGTGCGGTCTCCGAACTCTTGTGTTAAAATGCACATGTCATGCACATGTAGCCTGCATTCTTCGGTTATATTTTTACCGGGGGCCTGGCCTATTTCTATTATGAGATCATCTTTTCCCGTACGACGCGAGTCCTTCAGTCCTCTCCAACTTCCTCGCTCATGCATTTATTATACGAGATCTGCGTCGCCCATGACCGAATTTGTCAAGGCCGTGTCGTCGTTTTAAAAGTACATGCCTGCTCAATTATAAAAAAAAGACAACTAAAAAGAAAACTTCTTTATTTATCTTATCTTTTGTCTTATCATTTAATTAAATTAATTACTTTTACATAAACTTGGAAAATTTCACGCGTTAGGATGTAAATGTAATATATAATATTATTTTATTTAGAATTTATAATATTATATTTTAATTGAAATATATATTTATAATTTAATTAACAAATTATGAATATAAATTAAATTATTTATATAATATTAATTTAAAAAAGAATAAATTAGTTTAAATGTTTTCTTTACGAATTAATGTGTATAATCTATAAAAGCTCTATAATTTTCTCTCTCTGTCTTTCAAGAGATTTATGTGTCTGATACGAGTTTCTCATGCTCTGCCCTCAGGAAAGCTATTGTCATGGCAAGCCGGCGATCGATACTCTTTGCCATCGGTAGCATTTACGCAAATGTACGTAACAATACGGAGTATGTCCGACGTTTTATCGAAATTTGATGTGAAACAATTGCCGACGGATAACGAAAAGCTCTTGAACACCGGCAATCAGTACGCAGGAGCAATCGCTGATATACTGATAGCATTTTACAGCAGATTTGGGTGGCTATTGAAAGCAACGATGAGCGGACTTGTGATAACAGGTTTCACTTGGTTTATCCTTTACAAGGACAGCAGTATACCCGGTATCAACCCACCGTCTCCTTTCAGTCCTTCCAAACAGAGGTAGACTTTTGGTTTCTCTATTTAATTATAGTATTTATCCAATTCAACTACAGTAGTTTCATGCAAATCTTGCTTTAGAGAATAAAACTTTTATAAATTTTAGATATGCATCTTTTATTGTACAATATATAATTGATAAAGATGTATGAAAATCTAAATATAAAACCAAAAATATATATTTTCTATTACTCATTAATTTATTAGAACAAGTAGATAAATTTTATACTTTTTTATGCTGCTTGAAAAATTGCAAATGTAACGCGATTTATATCTGTTAATGTTGTTTATTTCAGGATACATGGCAGTTCAAGGATACAGATAAATTATTTAGTTGGTGCGCTAAATGGGATATTATTTTTTATCTACATGTGTCTTTAACATAATGGAAACGTTGTCGATTTTCAAAAGAAGGTTATATTTTTCTTTTTTTTTTATTTATATAGTATTATTTATTTAATTCACTAATTTATGTTGTCGGTAGCACGTTTATTTACGAGTGGCTTTTATATGCGAAAAAGGCCACTAATGACAAAGTCTTAGTATTTTGTAGCTCTTTTTCTATTAACATATTGCTATATTATTCGATTTTGTAAATAGCTTCGAGCAAGAATTAAAAGCTCTTTGAGCGAGAACTAAAGTTTCGCGAAAATGCACAGGAATACATTTTCTAAAATGTGAAAAACTTCGAACGAAATCCACTATTAGCACATAAAGAATTTATTCTGCTTCTATATATATTAATAGGCGTTACTAATGCATAATGTGCAGTAAGTTATTGAAACCAAGTACTTTGGTTGCGCGGTATGCAACAACCAAAAAAACGTCAAAGTACAAAACAGATTGTTCCATACCTTCTTCTCGAAATTTTATATAGTTATCTATTGCTACTGTAAGACTGATTGATAAAGGGCATATTTATTGATAGGCTAAAGTAAGTGTTGTAAGATACAGTTAATTTATGTACGCAGAATATATATATATTTTTTGCTTATATAAGAATGAATATAAATAGCAGGGTAAATATGCAGATTAGGGGAGCCCCCCCTCCCAATGACCTTGACCTTGACATATGTTGTCAAGGTCATGACCCCGAGTAACCTTGAGGAAGTTTTAATTGCAGGACGTTACTCATTA